CAGAACAGGAGTCAGGACCCAAACGCAAAGTCAGAACAGGTCAGGCTCAGAAATTGTAGCTGGAGACATGGCAGTAGTCAGAACCAGAAAACTGGCAAGGAAATGCACTGAAGATCAGTGTCAAGAGCTTTCACCTTTGCCTGGACAAGGAGAATATGGGCTGCACCTGGCTTTTAAAGGCTGGCATACGTGGGGCCTGCTGCTTGTGGCTTCAGAGAACTGGCTGCCCTGAATGCCTCACTCAGTCAAGCTGGGATCAGGGTGCTGCTCTGGGCTTGTTGCAGGTGGCACCTGTTCAGGGGACAGAATCATAGAAAATTAGGGTTAGAAGAGACCACAGGAAGTCATCTAGTCTAATCCTTTGCTCAAAGCAGAACCATTCTCAACTAGATCATCCCAGCCAAGTCTTTGTCTACTGGGGCCTTAAAAGCCTCCAAGGATGGAGATTTCACAGCCTCTCTGGGATGACTTTCCCTGATCTCCCAATTACAACCTACTGGGTCCAGGGTTCTGGTCTGGGCCTCATTGCAGTTGAGGGAAGCGTACAAACTGTATGTGAGAAAATATGGTTGTTCTTGGACCCCCTAGCCGGTCTGTACAGGTGCCAGACCGGCTGCTCCTAAACTGTCCATGATCATCCCCTGTCCCACCTCTCCTCAAAGCTCCCCAGTGAAGGAGACTCCACAGCTGCCGTAGGTAGTTCTGAGACAATCTGGGGCATTTTGCTTTAAATACTGTCAAGCTGGGATGAAGAAGATGTTCCTATCCATTCTAGATTTCATGATGTCAAGCTCACTCCACAGGTCACCAGCTTTGTGACAGGCAGTGCCCTTAATCCGCTCAGGGTGGGAGCTATATGGGTTCCCTCCCACCTTGTGCTGGGGGGCTGAGATCTGGTGGCTAAAGGTATCCTAGATCCACAAGTCCAGCCTGCTGGGAGTGAAAAGGCAAAGGGCAGTAAATGCTTTCCACTTGTGGGCTCTGGAGGTCACAGATGTTCCTTCCCCCGCAGCTTCAGCTTTTCAAAGTGCATTGTTTTCCCATTCACAGGAGATGTCCTAGCCCAGAGCTTCTATTGACGTTGCTCCCAATGTATGAATGGACCTGGTAATCTTGCAGCCCCCTGCTGTGAGGCTCTAAAAAAAGACTGTTATGCATAACACAGCAAAACCAGGCATCAAATGGGCCCTCTCCCCAGCTCCCACCCTGGCTGTGGTTTGCCCCAACCCAGTTTAGGTAGGTACCCAAACATAACCCTGCTAGGGAGACTTCTAAGATGTGGCTCACCTCAGAAGTCAATTGAGATTAAGACACCTGAAAGGGGCAACACAAGGGATGGAGATTTGGGGGAGGGGGTATTTACTTGAAATGAGGGCAAAGACCAGTACTGGGGCACTGGGCACAGAAAGGTCACTGGGACTCATGCCCTCAGTCTCTTTTACACACATTAGGAAACCCCCCTCCACTCACCCACCCTTGCTTGCCCTTTTCTGCATGGGTCCAGGGTTTAGTCCAGAGTTACCTGCGTTTGGGGTGCTGCTACCCCCTGCTGGCATTGTGCAGAACAGCACAGTCTGACAGTCCCAGGAACGTATTGGTGCCCAGACTTGCCCCAGCCTCCGTTTTAAGCCTGCTGCCAGCTTCATGTCCTGTCTGGCATAGCTCCCCCTCTGCAGTGCCTGGGTCTGTAGCTGGTGCTCCTGGGTTGTTCGTTCAGTACTGTCTGTATTTGCTGGAGCTGGAGGAAAGCCTGACTCTGTCCCCAGTCACAGCAGGATGCAACCCCCACTGCAAGGGGATCAGACCTCTATATCAGCATTAGACTGGCTATGTGCTCCCCCCGCACCCTCGGCCATGTCCTCCCTTGTGATGCATGAGAGCTGCCTGTGGGTGAAGAACAGGGCGTATGGGGTAAAGATGAGGGTAACTGAGAGGCCAGGGGAGGGCAGACAGGGTAGGAGTGCCTCTGCTCTAACTCCTATCAGGACCCCCCTCTCACCCTGATTCTTCTGTCTGGTTCAGGATGCCTTAGGGTCTCATGAGCTTCCCCATCTTCTGATTCACAGAAGGCCCCTGCACTGGACAGCCATGAGGCCAGTAAAAGACTGAGGCCTGTGGTGGGGACCAGAAACTCCTCTCAGTCTACCCTTCCGCCTACAGGGACTAAGGTCAATGGGGGTCCATACGGTGCCCTTGGGTCAGAGCAGGGGGAAGATGGGCTTAGGCTCCTTGACAGTGAACTGGGATGGGAGTGCAGGGAAATATGGGGGGACAGTTTTCAGGAAATTCCATCCCTTGCTCCTGGCTTTCAAACAACTGCCCCAACCTTGCCAAACTCGCCCTCAGAAGCACGCTCTCCACTACACAACAAAGACCAAGGGGAACCAGGTTAGGCCAAAACAACTGCAAAACAATTCAGCTCATCTTCCCTACCCCCACCATCTACTTTC